GGTGACTTTCTAGGAATAGATTATTTATCAAAACTGACCCCAGAAGAGAGAGAAAGTCTAAATAGATAAATCTTAATGAAAGAAATAGAGAAAGTTGTTCAAGAGCCAATCCCTAAAAAAAATTTCAGAGGGGAACTCTATAAAGCTGAAAAAACAAGACATTCTCAATGCTCATTAAATTATTCCAGGGAATAAAAAAAAAATGAGGGCGTGAAGAGACAAAGTGAAATTATCCAGCAGACGAGTATGGAAACTCAGGTTGCCTGGTAGTAAGCTTGAATGTTCGCTGAGGGCTACCCTTACCTCAGCAGCCAAAGTTCAATTTTCCACCAGGCCACCAGGTGCCAGCAGTTAGTGTTCTAGACAACTCTCTGAAAAGCTGGTGTCTAAATTTAAATTGGACCTCCTCTTATGACAGATTTGTCTTATTCAGGGGATGAATTATTTTCCATTTAATTCTGAATGTAAATAGGAAATTATATGTTCAAGACATTTGCTAATAATTTAAAGATAAGCACTAATAATATGGATATGGGATATGGAACCTGAACACCACAAGAGGAACAAGGAACAAACAATAAAATACTTTGTCAACCCTACGAAATTCAGAAAAAGGAAAAAAAGAAAATATTGACAAAGAATAATGAACCAAAAACATGAAATAAAATGGCAGGAAGGCCAAACATTTCATTGTTACATTATGACTGTGAATTAATTAAATTTCTTTATTAAAGATAAAGACCCTAATATTAGGCACGCGCACACACACACATATTGTTGTATACACTCACACACAAAAATCTGATGATACACCAGTTACAAAATGCTCACTTAAAACAGAATGATGAAGATTAACATCAAAGGTCTGACAAAGATATCTCGGACAAATGCCGACCAACAGAAAGCAATGTATGGTATACTCATATCAGACAAGGTAGAATTCGAGGCAAGATGCATTAAGCAACATAAATTTTTTTCCAGTAAAAAACACAGTCTACCTAGAAGATGTGAAATAAAAAGGGACTTTAACCAAACCATAGTCATAGGGTGGGAGAATTTATCATAACCCAGAATCAAATTGAGTGGAGGAAAGAGAAGGTTTGAATAACAAATTGAACAAGCTTCATGTGTAGCCCAAAAGCAAACTATCTGCTTTCTTTTCAAATTTTCATGGAATGATAGCAACAACTGACCACATACCAGGCCGCAGAGATCTCAGTAACCAAACAGTAGAAATTATGTGGACCATGTTCCCTGATCACAATGTAATCAATCTAGAAAATAAACAAAAAAAAAGATAACGCCTTCACCTCAAGCCTAACCACTTGGAAATTCTCAAACATTCCTCTAAAGACTCAGGTTAAGTTGAAAAATAAAATTAGGATTACAACCTGTCTGATTTCATATCAAAACCTAGATAATCTGACTGAAGATTTCCTCATAGCAGTGGTCAGAGCCTTAAACTCCTTTGGGTAAAGTCAGTGACTGACTCATCCATTCCACAAAAGTTTTCTGAGTGCCTAATTATAAGCCAGCACCGCTCCAGGTGCTGGGGATAAAGTAGTGATCAAAAGAGAGAACATTTCTCTTGGTGGAGGTTATGTTCAAGTGGATAACTTAAGAATTATTGAAAAAAACATCCTGAATATTCAATTAAAGAAGCTGGAAAGGTACAATAATATGCCCTCAGAAAAGTAAGGGAGAGGAGTACGTAAAATATGAAAATTAATGACTTCAAAAGAAAAATAAAACAATTGATAAAATTAAGATCTGAATGGCTAAAATAAGAAACAACAAGTGTGGGTGAGGATGCGGAGAAAGTGGAATCCCCTTGCAGTGTTGGTGGGAATGCAAACTGGTGCAGCCACTGGGGAAAACAGTATGGCTGTTAAAGTTAAAAATAGAACTACCCAATAATTGCACTACTAGGTATTTACCCAGAGAATACAAAAACACTAATTCGAGAGTGTATATGCACCCTTATGTTTATTACATCATTATTTACAATAGCCAAGTTATGGAAGCAGCCCAAGTGTCCATCAATAGATTAATGGATAAAGAAGATGTAATATATATATATATATATATATATATATATAATGGAATGTTATTCAGCCATAAAAAATAATGAAATCTTGCCGTTTGCAACAACATGGATGGATCTAGAGTATAATGCTAAGCAAAATAAGTCAGTCAGAGAAAGACAAATACCATATGGTTTCACTCTTATGTGGAATTTAAGAAACAAAACAAATGAACAAAGGGGAAAAAAAAGAGACAAACCAAAAAACAGACTCTTAACTCTAGAGAACAAACAGATGGTTACCAGAGGGGAGGTGGGTGGGGATGGGTGACATAGGTGAAGGGGATTAAGAGTACACTCATCTCGATGAGCACTCTATATAGAATTGGTGAATCACAATATTGTACACCTGAAACTAATATAACACTCTGTTAGCTATACGGGAATTAAAATTAAAAACTTAATTAAAAAAATTAAGATTTGATCAGACTCTGCCACGTCTGACTAAGAAAAAAGAGAGAAATCACAAACATGTATCTTTAGAACAGACAAAGGGGATGATATGGCTGCAGATACAGAGAAGATTGTAAAGCTCATAAGCAAATAATGTGTATAAAACAATGTCAAAAAATGTAAAAACTTAGATAAAAATAGATGGCTACTGTGGACAAGATGAATAAATTACTAGAACTATGTGAATTAACAACATTGACTTCTGTGGTGGAAAATTTGCATGGCCCAATAACTTTAGAAGAATTTGAAAAGATTGTTCAGGATCTACTCACCAAAACACATAAATACCTTCTCAAATTCAAAGTAAAACTTGACAAACTATTGAGGCAAAGATAATCTTATTTAAACTATGTAGAACATAAAGATGGAAAGAGACTTTTGCAAGGCTGGCATACCAAAATCCAATATACAACATAAACATTGGAATTATAATGACAAGAACAGAGGCAGGAAGAGCAGGAAGGCGGGAGCACAGACCACCCTGAGGGAGAGCTGTTGTAGTGGGAGCTACTGTGTGTGTTCACTTGGACACGAGTGGCCTGTCACCCAAACGCAGCTGTGGGGACATCCCAATCTGTATTCCTACTCTCCCTTCACTCCCCGCCACTGTCCACATCTATGACTTCATGGGATGCTCCTTACACTCAGCTGGTCCACGGCAAGCGGACTGCTATGGTGTTACTGTCCCACTTGGGGGTGGCCCCAAAAGATGGTGGGGAAGAGAAATCCTCTCAAGGACAGAATGTAGAACAATACATCTTCTTGACCACTCTCCCCGAAGGCAAGATGGGCTGAGCTACAGATTTCCATTGGTTCATGGACAATGGCTAGTGGTCTAGCTGGACAACTGGGAGCTGGGAAAGAACAAGGTTGGAGGTTGGTGACAAGGTGGTCTGGGAGGAGAATATGAATGGATCTTTCAGAACTGGCCCAGAGGCAGAGACTGCTCTCCAAAATGTCCCCACTGGGAAGGAAGTTCTCAATGATCCCGTGGACAAGATGCCCACCCAGTGGATATCTATCAGCTTCTTTCCTCAGCTACACATGGGCCCGCTCAGAAATGAAGTGGTTTTGGAGGCAAGAAAAGAGACCACCTATCCAAGTAAGGACTTGACAGCCTCTCAAAGCTGAAGCAGCCAACACCACAGACAAGACTCTAATTTCCAGCAGTGGAGACCAACTTGGCAAATCTGATATACTGCAGTAGAGATGACCTATCAGCATTGGATAGCAAGCAGGTTACACTGGACTCCTTCCATCATGGAGGGCCAGTGATTTGTCCTCATTGGTATAAATATTTATATTGGAGCTGAATATACATTTTCTCTCCATGCTTCCATCAGGACCACCATTAGAGGACTTAATAAATACCACTGGAACAACCCATACAATACTGTTTCTGCCCAAGGAACTCAGTTAAAAAAAAAAAAAAAGTGAAGCAATGGGACGATGGTCATGGGATTCACAGGGCTTATCATACACCAGGAGAGTTGGGCTGATAGAAGAATAAAATGGGCCATTGAAGGATCAGTTGCAGCACCCTGGTAGACAACATCTTGTGAGTTTGGGACACTGTCCTCCAAGACATGGTATGTGAATTCAACCAGCAGCCCATGTATAGTGATCGATTTTGGCATTTGTCACTATCGAACGAAATAACCCACTTTCAAAAAATGTGCTTCTTGTTCCTGTGTCTGCTCTACATCTGCTGGTTTAGAGGTTTTGGTATCCAAGGGAGGAAAGCTCCAATCTGGGGACATAGGAAGTTAATAGTACCAACCAGCCATTATGGGCTCTCCATGCCACTAGATGAACAGGTCCAAAGGGAAGTCATGGTGTTGGCTGGAATGATTGATTGTGATTTGTGCTGTCCAATTCTATAGCTACCTGTGGCTATTATAAATTCATTTAAATTAAGCAAAACTAGAAATTCAGTTCCACATGTCAGGTGGTCAGTATCTGCATATGGCTATTGGCTACCATATTAGGTGATAACATATGGCTATTGTCTACAGAATTAGGCAGAGCAGATGTGGAACGTTTCCATCACTGCAGAAGTTGCATTAGACGGTGCTGATTTCGACAACCAAAGGGTAATAAGGAGGTCATTCCATGGGGCATGAAGAAACAGGGTTGCCTCTCTGGGACCCCTCTGCTCTACCTGCTAGCACTGGTATGAATGGGGGTCAATATGGAAGGAAGACCACAACAAACATATTTAAGCAGGACCACCAGGGCTCAGACCCCTCAAGAATAATGGTCCAGGCCACCTCACCATGTAAAGAACCCTACCCACTGAGGCGTTGGCTGAAGGCAAAGTCAACGTGGAATAAATGGTAGAGGAGGGAGGTCATACACCTTCACCAAGGCACAGAGCCCCATGTTCCCTCCCCATAGTTTCTTCCTTGCTCAGCCATGTGTATATTCACGTATTTTAATGAATTTCTCTTAGATTTCCCTTTAATCCACTACTGTATATACTGTTTGCAGAATACTGAAACAGGATTGGGACAGAATCAGAGAAGGAATGGACCTTGCCCCAGGGCCAGGCTCATCCCCCCCCCGGACTCCCCCGCAGGGGCCTGTGGCCACCATCCCCCGGAGTGGGGGGTGGGGGTTGCCAGCAGTGCCAGCTCCAGTGGGCGCTGGTGGGGCCGAGGGGGCAGGAGGGACAGGAGCTCTGCTGTGCTCTCTGGGGTGTGGGTCGGTGCATCTCGTCCTCTGGCGGCAGCAGACCCACATTTTGTGGGGCCTTAGGCTTGGATACGTCGGAGGACTTCTATAAGGAAAATAATAAAAATTATAAATACAAAATAAGGTACAAACATGAATATTACTTGGAATGAGAAAAGAAATCAAAACCACCAACAAGTACGGAAAATTGACATAGTCCAAATGTCACATAATCCCCCCAAATAGCATAATAGTTTTAAGTGCTACACACATCTTTGTAATACCCTTTTTTCCTTCATTTTTGGCTACATACCTTTTGGTCGCTTCTTCATATAATGATACTGTAAAGTACATTGCCTGACATTTCCTGTAAAGAGAATAGAAAAGATAATTTGGTGTTTCCTAAAAGGGAATAGAAAGATAATTCCTGGGGTGGTTAGCCAATCTGTTATTTTGTTACTAATAGTTTAGGAGAGTTCAGCTTCACAATTTGTCGATAAAGTTGGAAATTTTCAGGATTGTTGCCTAATTGGCAGAAACCTCTATCAAATAACTTTTATAAGTGAGCTGTAAGATTGTAGGGTGAGGACCAATCTTAAATATTTGGAATTGATGGCTCGTTAACCAGAGCAATTCAGATGCATCCTGGAATCACTGCTACATTGCTTTTAGCTGCATAATTGTGTAATAAAATGACTCTTACGCTCTATCCACTGTAGTTATTGATAAGTATGCGTAGCAGCCTTGTCACTGGAAGTTCCTTCAGGCCGTCTTGCTCTGTTGGTGGAAATTTCATGTGCCCCTTCATCTGGAACTACCAAACCTCATCAGGACAAGATGCATCAGTTACACTGAGATGTGATTCCATATAATGAGATGCATAAAACAAGCAACTTTACACAGAAATACCTACTGCTTGTGGAACTTCTACAGTACTCAAGCCCTGTAAACAATGAAATCCTGATACATTTTATTCTCCATGAATCTCATTAAAGAGAAACAAAATGTGTGATGCACTTATAATTGTATACACAGCATTACTGAGTATATTCTTTGAGAGGAGAGAATTTCCATTTTGACTGGGCATCCATGAGAAATGAGTCCTATGTTCTGATGGTGGAAGACATTTTCACCGACCCACTCTGGCTCTTTTCAATTCAAACCTTGTTTCTCCTCCACAACCTGCCAGTACTGGGTGCTGACCCCATTCATATTTCAATATGACGTCTCGCCAGAACCTTCATGTCATGATAACAGGTGGGTTGTTATGGTGGGTATTGGTGGGTATGAGTATTATTGCCCCAGAATGGCTAGCAATAATTTAGCTATACACAGGAGTGACTATAAACTACATACCTATATCCCACTAAACCAAATAAATGTATCTTCGGTTCAACTTCCCCTTAGCCAGATCCCAAAGATGTCCTCGGCCATCCAACACCATCCAACATGGTGGAAATAATGACAGGGAAGTTATAGTGAAAGAGACAGTGGTCTTAATGGAAACATTTTACTTCTGTCAGTTTTACAGAAACATTATGACCATGTACATGCATAGGACGGATCCCTCCCAGGGCTTTGCAGAAGGCCTGTGTGAGTTTCTCTAACATCACAGTATACCCACCTTTGGCTTTGGCTCTCAGAGCAGGAGTGGGGGAACCAGGGAATAGTCCCATTAATCATTCCTCTCGCCGAAAATCTCAACACAGTCCACACAACACCCCTCATGCTCACCCTCTACAGTCTGTGGAACGGGTATTATCATTTTCCCAGGCCACAGATAAAAAGTGGAGGCCCAGAGAGGAAGGGCTCTTGGCCAGGGTCACATAGTCAACAAGCAATACAGCCCAGCTCTTGTGCTTTGCCCAGGGCTCAGAGCCTACACAAGGCCTGCACTGTCTCATTTAGTGCACGGTCACTCTGACAGAGCGGCGAGGAAGGGCTTATGCTCCCATTTTATAGAGGCAGTAGCTTTTATAATCATCCGTCATATCCACACCCACAGGACAGTTGACAAGGCATTTGTACGCACATGAGTTTTATTTATAACTCTCAAGGCAACATGCAAGGAGTGTTATCCCTTTTTCCGGTAGAGGAGACTGAGGCTCATCGGAGGTCATATGGCCTGATTAAGGCCCAAAAGCAAGTCACTGCAAAGAGGCACTCCAAACCAGGACTCCCCACTCCTGGTTCAATGCTCTTTTCACTGCACTTGGCTCTCTTCCCCTTTAGAGATCAAAGGCGCCCCAGAGCATCATCTAGTCCCATCCCCTCGAGCCACACAGGAGAAGCTAAAGCCCAGAGAGGGGGGAAGGACTCCTAACCCAACGGTCGTTTTTCTCTCTGCCTCACTTCTGCAGGAGCCTTCATCTGCTCCCCCATGTCTAGGGGACCCCACTGCAGGCTGGATTTTGCCCTGACCTCTGAGTGACCCATCCAACAACAGCTTGTATCACGTAAGTCAATCACTGTCTTCCTCCCCAAACCCCTCTTCTTGGAAATAGTCTCCAACCCCGGGCCCCACCGAAGAGGGAGGAGAGTCTTAGGCAGCCTTAGATCCGAGTAGCCCCGCCCCTATGGCCACAGCCGATTGGATGACGCCAATGAGGGAGGGCAATCCAGACCAAGCAAGGTTAGACTTAGGCGCCAGAGCAGGTGAGTCTGAGCAATGGAAAAGGAGCCCAGACAGATGCAAATGCGGAGCCCCGCCACAGAAAGGCAGAAGCACAAAAAAGAGGTTAGGAGACCCCAGACAGAGCCTCCTGCCCTATGAGTTTACCAATCCCATGATTCCCAGCAGTACCTGGGCCCAGGTTATTTTTCTGTGTGATACACATTAGCACCCTCCCCACATTGAGTCCCATGAGTGAGTTTTCGTACCATGCAACTTAGACATTATAAATTATTTTTATTTTTTTAACAAGTTTAATGGGTGATACAATCATATGGTTTTAACTCATATGTGGAATTTAAGAAACAAAACAAATGAGCAAAGGGGAAAAAAGAGAAGGCGACACACCAAGAAACAGACTTTTTTTTTTTTTAAGATTTTATTTATTTATTTGGCAGAGAGAGACACAGCGAGAGAGGGAACACAAGCAGGGGGAGTGGGAGAGGGAGAAGCAGGCTCCCCGCCGAGCAGGGAGCGCGATGCAGGGCTCGATGCAGGGCTCGATGCAGGGCTCGATGCAGGGCTCGATCCCAGGATCCTGGGATCATGACCTGAGCCAAAAGCAGACACTTAACCAACTAAGCCACCCAGGCGCCCCAAGAAACAGACTCTTAACTACAGAGAACAAACTGATGGTCACCAGAGGGGAGATGGGTGGGGGGGATGGGTGACGTAGGTGATGGGGATGAAGGAGGGCACTTGTGATGTATGATGATGATGGGTGATGTACGGAAGTGTTGGATCACTACACTGTATATCTGAAGCTAATCTTACACTATGTTAACTAACTGGAGTTTAAATAAAAACTTTTAAAAAAATACGTTTTTTAAAAAAGTAGCACACTATATACATTGCTCTGTATCTTGCTTTTTTCACTGAATGGTCCTGGAAATCACTCCATGCCATAAAATGATGCACTGGTTTTACAACCAAAGTCCATGGTTTATGTTTGGGGTTTAATTGACCCGCCAAGGGGTGAGATGGCCCCGCAGGCCTGTCACTTCATCTCAGACAAAGGAGAGGCAGTATCAGGAGATATTTCTGGTCTTTTAGCTGGTGGGAGAAGGGAGGGAGTGAGGCTTTGGCCAGTGTCTACAGGAGGCCGAGGCCCTGACCTAGGGCTTGGCCGTGGCGGGGATACAAGCCCATCGTCATTATCTTACCGCAAGGCTTGCTGACTTCTGCCCCTCCTCAGCTTCCTCCGGCTCCTCCCTATGAAGTTCAGGAACAGGTTTCTCAATGACTTCATCATTCTGCCTCTTCTGCTCCACCTACTGAGTCGGTGCCCTGGAAACATGAAAGCTGCCAAGGCCTCCCTGGCTCTTCCCCCTCCCCGCGGGTCTCTCCTCCCTGGAGGAGCTTCCTTCGCCTGTGGCAGTGAGGGCTGTGTGTGCCCAGAACAGGCAGCTTCCCTCGCCCTCTGCCCCGCAACCCCTGGCCCTGGCAACTCTCTGTTGGGCTCCCCTGCCTGAGCTCTGGTGGCCTTTATCCTCTGCCTCCCTCAGGCTTCCCTGGCCCCGGGGCGGTACCCTCCCCATTGTTCCTGCCCTATGCCCAGCACCTCACCCTGGGCGCTGGGGCTCCCCTGGACCTGCCTCTTGGAATCACATCTCCCATTTACTCTTTCTCCTTCTCCCACACTTCTTTATTCTATTCTTCTGCAAATTGCTTTTGTAATTCTATCCCTGCTCTGTTACTCACTTGCACTGAAAAAAAATGTGTTTTTGAGACTTTCCAGCCTGCTCCCACATCCCGCCCATGATTTACTGCTGGTCACCTCCTCTTGTAAGGAACTCCAAAGGGTTTGCCTCTCTGTCTTCTCTCTCCCTGCCCCTCCTCCTTTTTTTTTTTTTTTTTTTTTTTTTTCAGATGTATTGTTTAGTTTATGGAGCCATTAATTAGGGCCGGGGGCCAGGACGTTTTTTCCACAGAGGAATTTTTGTTTCTGGATCGCATAGGGCCATTCCACTGAGTTGGCGTCAAATGTCTCTACCTGAACTTTGGGATTATTTTATCTGCGTGCACATGCACTGTAGCCCACAGCCAGGCATGAGAGCCCCGACTCCAGTCACTCCTTCCATCAGCAAACACTCCCTGTAGCCTCCTGTCTGTGGGCTCTGCAGTCAAATGCTCTACCCCTGAGCTATACCCCCTGTCTGTGGGCTCTGAGCTGGACAGCAGGACACACATAAGAACAGGACATCCTCAGGGCACCTGGGTGGCTCAGTGGGTTGGGCATCTGCCATCGGCTTGGGTCCTTGTCCCAGGGTCCTGGGATAGAGCCTCACATCCACCTCCCTGCTCAGTGGGGAGCCTGCTTCTCCCTCTCCTGTTCCCCCTGCTTGTGCCCTCTCTCTCTGTCCAATAAATAAATAAAATCTTAAAAAAAAAAAAAAAAGAATAGGACATGCTCGCTGCCCTCACAGATTCCCCAGTGTGTTGTGGAAGACAAGGCATGTGCAAGGATAATGGGGGGGCTACAGGTTGTATTTGTGCTGAAACTTGATCCCCTTTAGTAATTGTGAAGCATTTTTGAGCACCTGTTATGTGCCAGGCATTGTGCTGTTACTTCACTTACGTGGCCTCATTTCATTTTGACAACCACTTGCAAGTTGGGTATTGTTAACCTTACCTTACAGATGAGAAAACTGAGGCCCAGAGAGGTTGAGTCACTTACACACGGTGACATTGGAGCT